CCAGCATGAAAAGTACCTTAAAACCAAACAACTTATGATACTCACCTCCATCCACCCATCACAAGCCAACGAGAGCGAAGAATTTCTGCAGCAGTCATGAGGGTACAGAACATGAGAATAAAACCAACCGTCCATGTATTAACACCAACCCACTGGAAGGCAAACTTGCCCATCAGGTAATAAGGTGTCAAAAGCACCCGTACTGCGAAACGCACATACTCTATGACAGGTGGATGCCACTCCTGTAAGAACAGCAAATATGGTGTAATAAAACTATAATTAAAGCATGGCATATGTATAAGTGTGTGATCTTTTAAAACTTTGAGTTTTCCAACAATGTCATGGAAACACTTTGAACAATGTCCACCAAAACCCTTTTCTGTCTTGATAATAAAATTCAATAATGATAAAAGAGTAAATTTTACATCGTGAAAAGATGAAAAAACTTACTGACGTTTCRGACGTTAGTCCTTYGTCAGAGTAAAAGAGCTCTAGCGTCTGAAACTTCATCTTTACACAGTGTAAAATTTATCCTTTTATCATTACTGTTTCATTAGAAACACCRACGCAGCTCACACTAGTTTTTAGCCAGTTATCTATTAGTAAAATTCAATGGCAAATTGGCAAGCTCTATAGAAAAGCATTCAGTCTGTAATTGTACAACATTTTTGTGCAAATTTAAATCTCTRATCATCAAGATGGATTATTAGCTATCAAAGAAAGGGTAACAGTTCTATTTATRGTTGCTCTGCCATATTGAACAAAATATGATAATGAACATCAATCAATGATCATCAGACAAACGGTGCGCTGTTTTKTTTCTTCTGTTGATTATAAGACATCATATCGCAGTGCCTTCTGTCGTCTCAGCAGATGTTATAAAGTGCTTTCCRTTTTCTTTTTCAATTTTTCTGTTGCTTTTTTTGTGGCTCACTGTCCGTCTTTTTTTCATGTTCATTATCATAATTTGTTCAGTATGGCAGAAAGAACTTACACCATATGTGAGCTCCTGGTTTGAATTACTGTCTTGAAGGTGTTGTGATGTATAGTACAGMAGAGGCATAAATACTTCATCATGGAGAGCAATAAATGTATACAGGGCTGTCGCTCTGGGAAACTCACGAAAACCCCAAAGAAGAAACATAGACCTGGCTGGGAATACTGCCTAGAAAACAAGAAAGATCATTTTATTATTCAAATATGACATTTGACCAATCAAATTACAGTTGATTCCAACAATTAGATTGCATTGGGAATCRAGGGTGGTGTAGTGATAGTACACTGTCTACATGTAGTTTCTCATCACTGACAAAATTTGTATAATAAGGTATGATTCCTGGACTCGTCGTCATCTCATGTGAGTTGAGTTTGTTAAGGGTTTGATCTGTGAGTTAGCCATACCCTGACTTAGATCAGCCCAGAGATTGTTTCAGGGTCTGACCTGTGAGTTAGCCATGCCCTGACTTAGATCAGCCCAGAGGTTGTTTCAGGGTCTGACCTGTGAGTTAGCCATGCCCTGACTCAGATCAGCCCAGAAGTTGTTTCATGGTTCTATCTGTGAGTTAGCCATGCCCTGACT